ACTGTTTCTTTTTCTTTTTTTCTTCAATTATCCATTATTATTGCGATTCTCTCTAGTTTTTGTAGTTAATTAATTTTCGTTAATGTTACTTTTAATTACGTTACAGTTAAATCAAAGTGATGCTCATCGCGTAGTTTTAAGGGACTTGCAACCAAGCCACACTGGAAAATATCGCTGTGAAGTTTCTGGCGATTCCCCATCGTTTACTACTATAACGGTCGCCGCTTACTTATATGTTGCTAGTAAGTATCATAATATTTCATTTATGTTAAGAAACAATAAAAATTAAATGGTTTCTAATAATTTTATAATTAGATAATCAATTATTTAAGATTTATTATCCTGTTAAATATTACTATCATTATTATCCTGTTAAATCATCAAACGTTAATAAACAACTAAATCGAATTTTATAATAATTTTAGTAATAATTAGTAATAATTACGTGACCGTTTATCTAAAATTTATTTACCTCGTTGAATGCTATTTAAGTTAAAAAAAAAGAAAAACTAATTATTTTATACTGTATACTTATAATAAATAGATTTAAAGTTAATATAATTTTCTGCTTTTTCTTCGAGCAAGTGAATGAAAAAATATAATAATGAGTTATTTCTTCATTAGTATGCAAACTCGCAATTATGAAGTCATTTAGCAAATAAAAATATATTCACACTAAGGCTGTGAAAAGGCATTAACAGCCTCCGATATCCACGGTATCTGCTTACGCGTGATATAAATAATGCAGCCAAGGGGGATAATTTGTTCGTAAGGAACATTAAGAAATAGTAAAACAGTGCAACATTAGTGCTCGTTTAATATTCCTAAAAAATATGTAAAATGAAGTTCTCCTTGGAATACGAATTATATATATAAATCATCGCTTCTTAAGGGTTAGATCATTAAGCGTTTCCTGGCTCATTTAATATTTTTATATCCTTACCTAATCCATATCAACATTAGTTAAATAAATCTATAATATTTTTTTCTCATTTTACCACTAGATAAGATAAATAGTACGATGATGCAATACAATTATCAAATATCCATTTGTTTCCTTTACTTATTTACCGATCTCCAGTCTTTTTTCCTGTAAAAATAAAAACCGTTCCGAGTGAAATTAAAAACAACTTTAAACGCGGAACAAAAACCGTCCAAGTAATAAAATCGAGAACGACGAATCGGTCTCATTAAATCACCGAATACGCTTCTTTTCATTTAATCATCCATCTTTCACGGCTCTCTTAACCGAGTTACTGTTAATTAACAGCCCCATTCTAATAAACATAACCTCGCTCGCTTCTTTTCAATATCATTTCACCTACTTTCCTCGCGCGAATTGATCCTTTAATACGCACTATTAACTTTCAATGAAAAAAAAAAAAAAAAAACATTGAACGAGAACGCACGAAGCATATTCAAATACCTGTGACAAGTCCAAGAAGAACCGGATCGTGACCCATTATTTTTTTCTTTCTTTTTCTTCCTTTTCCTTTCATCGAATCGACGCCGATGTCATCTTCGACTCTTGCCAGTTATTTCCCCATTGATCATTCCACACGATGAGCTACTGCGGTTAATTGAAACGTGCACGATTCGAGAAGGAGAGAGTGACGAATCGAGACATAGAAAAGGAGAAGAGGCAAGAGAAGAGAAAAATAAAAAGGAGAAAAAAGATACGAGAAAAGGATAGAATATCGTGCCTCGTTCCCACCGTCTCGCATCCTCGTTGAACGTCGACTTAACGACGCCACAACCACGGTAGCGATTCCTCTTTGAAGAGACGAGGTGATTGCCTCTCCTTTCCGATCACGGATCGCTCGTAAAAGCTCGATACTGGATCGAGCCTTCGAATCTCGCCTTGTATCCCTCAAACCTTCCTCCCTTTCTCTCTCTCTCTCTCTCTCTCTTTCTCTCTTCCACTTTTCTTCCTTTTCTCCATTCTCACGAGACAGGATGATCGTCTCGCATCCACAACATTACCAAACAAGTTCAAAATGGTAATCTTCGGCCGATCGTGTCCTTGAGAGTATGCGAGAGGAGAGAGACGAGGGACTTGGAGATACTCAGGCGGAAGTCATTCGAGCCGAAGTGAGACAATTCTTTGACAGTTCGCTACCGGTACCAGGAAATTGACTGCCTTCTGTGGACGGCATAATGATCCCTCGAGATGTACAATGACGTGTTACGTATTCGGAATACCTCGATGTAGCGTAGCTTCGGCGAAAATCGTTCAACAATAGACTTCCTATCCGTTCTTGAAATGTACGAGGATGATGGAAAAAAGGGAAAAAGTAAATCGGATCGAACGATGTATCGAAAGATATTCCAACAATGTATATGTTCTGTTAATAATAATAATAATAATAATAATAATAATCGGTGCAATTTTATAAACATGAGTAAATGTATCATTGATATAATATTCGTTACATTTATTTAAAACTTGAAATTAGGTGAATATAACTTGTTATTTTAAAAAACAAATTATTTATTTATAAGAAGCAAATATTTAACGAATATATTTTTTCTCATTGTTAGTTTATCGATGTCCTATACGCTAATGAAGTTTGATATTTTGATCGAGGATATATTATAATTATTATAGAAGATAATTATCAAATAAGATTTTTTTGTTATTAAATAATTCAATGAATTTCAGATTTACCAAAAGGGGATCCTCAAATTAGAGCCGAAAAGATACGCTACGCGGTAGGAGACACGGTGCGTGCAAATTGCACCGTTCCTTCGGGAAATCCTCCGGCGAATGTGACATGGACTGTGAATGGAGTACAGGTGGGTTTATTAATATAAAAACTTTTATGGGTTGATAAGCTGCCATTGTTACTTGAATCAATAAGTTACTTTTGCTATGTATTTATGTTATATTTTATTATTATATATTATTATATATCCTATACGAATTTTATTAGTCTAATTAAATGAATCAAATGATATTAAATAAAACTATTAGATGTAATAATTACTAGATAAAAATTAATAAATTTAAATTAAATAATTATTCATAAAAGGAAGAAATAAATAATTAAAATAATAAAATCTAAGATTCTTGAAAATCTTTTGAAATATTTTTTATATTTTTCACAAATAATTTACCGTAGTAAGTTCTTCAATTTTAAAATCTTTTTGGAATACTATAAATACAAATGAACGTGTAAGAAAAATGATAAATAATTGTAACTGAATTTTATATGCATCTTAAATATTTTTTCCGCGTACAGATAACAACTCATCTTACCTGTATCAATGTAAATCACATATGTCTTTAATTTGAAATACCGGCCTCCAATCATGTAATTTCGGTCTGATATTTGCTGTTCTCATAAATTTACGATATGTCAATGATAATTGAAAAATGAGAAAAATAAACTTCAAATTTTAAATTTAAAATTTCCGCATATAAATATATAATTATTAAATAAAAATTGTCAAGATGAAAAATGCGAAAAAATTCTTAGTTTCATAAATAACAAAAGAACTGCGACGTAAATGTGAACAAATTATTGTTAATTGTTTATAATTAAATTCAAACAAATATTCGAAATGTATATATCATTAATAACATAATTTGTTCACCAAAAATTGATGATTATTTATAAATTTAGATCTATACTTTTCATAAGCTTTTTTCATCTAAATACCTATAATTTATTCGAATAACTTTATTATGATTGAATAATAAAAAGAAATAAAAAAGATTATTGTTTCTATCTAAATAATATAATATTATTATTCTACTTAAAAATTACATAAAAATCTATATTCAATGCAAATTCTGCAAATTTCGAATAATTCTATCAAAAAAATAATTAAATGGAATATAAAAATTTAAAAATTCATTATTCTCTCAAAACATAAAGCATTTATATTATCTTTTAATATTATTTTCTAATAAATATTCTATTTAATAATAAATATTCTATACACACAAAATTAAAAAATGCATAAAAATCAAAATCATCAAATTTCACGTATAATTTTTTACCTTTTATTATATGATTGAGGTCAATTAAATGTATGTAAGCATTAACATAATTATAATAAAAAAAAAAAAAAAAATATTAAGAAAATATATGGAATGTGATTTATATCGAATATAATAATACCGTTATAAGTGTCGAAAGTCACTGAAAAAATTATTCTTAGTTTAGTCATTTTCTAACTTTTATTCGATACAAAGTAACAATTTGAAATTATTTACGGATTTCCTAACAATCCGCTAAATATTATACTTGTAAAAGAATATACCATAAAATATTCATAGTCTCTTTAAAAAAGATCATAATAATGTCTATGGTATAATCGAAAAGCAGCAAGTACTGTTACATACTTATGTATAGTATTAAATCCTATCCTGTTTATTTTTCTTTCTTTTCGCGTTCCAGCAATAATATATGCATGTTTTAATAATGTTTTCCTAATTTACATTTCCTACGTCATATTTATATATCTTTCATTCTACAAATTTTATTTTATTGAAAAAAAAAAAAATATGATAATAAGAAAAATATTTTATGTATATATAATAATATTTATAATAATCTAAGCTTAATTATTTTAAACTTCAGAAAAAAACACACTAAGTCTTTTCGATAATTATTATTTGATATAATTACTCTATACCTGCATTTAATATTATTTCAATGTAAAATTCATCTAAACATTATTAAATTTTTATAAATTAAATTAATTCTATTAAAAATAAATATAATCGCGAGATAGAATTAATACTAATATTATGTATTATGTATTGAATTACTTAAATGTACATATAATTATTTTACGAATAATTACATATACATTTAAAACATATTATATATAACGCTCAATTAATTTTATACTTGATTTTATTATCAATATGAAGTGAAATACGATGAAAAGATACATAATTCTTTTTTATTATTTGCATTTCACATTTTATAAATAAAATTTTATATTTCAGGTAAATTCCAGCTTCATGATGAACATTACGGACAAGTTTGGTGACAATCAGCAATTGATGACTATCGCAGGATTGGATTTCGAGACTATACAAGATAGCTTTAACAACGGAAGATTACATATTGTTTGCAATGCTAATGTCTTTCATTTGTATAAAAAACAAGCCGATGTTATTTTGATCGAGGAACGGCCACGTCTGGCATCAGTATTAGGAACCCGAGAATCTTCTTATATTGGTACATCTTCTAAATCTCTTTTCAGCTGATCATTCATAATATGCACAATAGTCTCTTTTGATAATCGGATACAAGCATTGTGCTGTTCAGACATTCGAGATGTACACAAAAATATATCTTTTTATTTTTGCCAATAACGACTATTGTAAATTGTAATAGCTAGTATGCGACAAAAATCAAAGAAAATATCCAATGGTGGATATTGATTTTTCAGAAATAAAGAAACAGTTGTAAAGCAAAAAACGACAACGAAATTCAAAACAGCTGTGCATATTGATGATAACATTTGTATTGAACGCGTATGCAAAAGAAAAGCCGGATATGCAGAAAACCTTTTACATCTTTTACATTTGGGAAAACATGACGCGATCATCCGACATCATAGATCAGAAAATTTTTATAAAATATACGTTCACATCACGTATATTCAGTGTTAATTAATAGAATTATTTCTATGATGAAATCAATGACTATAATTGTTATAACAAATTTTATAATTTATGATATAAAAATATCTTTGCTTGACTGCAATTCCGAATGATATTAATTAAAATGAAACTTAACAAATTTGGAGATAGACAAAAGGTAGACAGAAAGTAATTCTGAAATTCTTTCTTTGGCAATGCATGCATTCCAGAAGATACAAATTATCTAATATAAAGAGTGATGGATAAATTTTAAATACGAATTTACGAATTCAATACGAAAAAATTTTCTCTACATAAATATTAAACTATATCTTTTATTCTATTTTTTGTTTTATAATTTTTTTTCTTTTCTTCTCGATAAAGTATAATTTCATAATTATTTTTATATTATTAATATTATTAATAAATATTAATCATCAGTAAAGTGCGAATATTCATGCATTTATACAAAATTTGAAAGTACAAAAATGTACAAAAATGTACAGTACAGTACAACACAAATGCATAACATAATAAGAAATGCAAAATATCTAATTATTATTAAATTATATTATTTAATTAACACTGATATTTGAAATAATGAATATTTTGAAGTATGAAACAAATATCCATTCAAACCCTACTTTTTAAAAATTCGTATAAAAATTTGATTTCGCATAAAATCAACAATAATCAAATATAAAAAGGTTTTTCGCTATCGATAATAAATATAATATAAAATAATATTCAAAATAATATTCCCCCATCGATAATAGTTATCGGTAGTCGAAAAAAATTACCATTATTGATATTACTTACCGATAACCAAGAAATTTTCATCATCGGTAATAGTTATTGATAAACAACAATTTAATTATTTATCATAATAAGTACATTTTATTTTTTTTTAAATTTAATAATGATTGTTTTCTGTTTAAATAAAAATTAACTTTTATTGAATGATTTGTAAAAAAAATTAAAAACTTAGTAAAAATACGTAAAAAAATATTATTTATATTGTATTGAAAAAATTAATTATATTATATTTACATTATATTATATTTAATTAATTATATTTACATACATCAAAATATTGAATAATATCGAAAATTTTCTTATGATTTCTTTTTTTTTTTTT